TCGGGTTGCATGATTCTAGAATGGCGCCAACTCCGTGTCACCAGACGGATGGCAACGAGTACCAGAAGGCCAGTGATGAAAATGCCTCCGATGCCGGCACCGACGGCTATTCCGGTCATTGCACCGCTGTTGAAGCTACTGACTGATCCTGAATAGTCCTGCGTTTTCGATGGCTCTGGTGCAGTAGCTATAGTAGTTGCTGAGGTAGCAATCACCTCGGCAATTAGGGCGGCAGTATAGATGATAGGTGGGACCGTGATGCTTATAGCATCTGGTTCCAGACCATTTTCATGTCCCTGTTGAAAGTCAGAGCAGAGAGTCATATATTTCTGCGTGACACGATCTACACATACAATTAGCATATTACTCTCTCGCAACAGGTGTCCTTCGTAACTGCAACAGAACAGCATGCATACGAGTAATTTTCCCAACGGAGTTCTTTTCTGGGTCAACGCAAGTTTTTTTGAGACACGGTGCTGCTTCTTTCTGTATATATTGCCTGTTGATGCACATACATTTGATGTTGTTGACGCCATCGCAGAGCTCGAATTTGTTGGCTACTGTTTCGATGCATGACAGTGCACACTCATCCATAGAGTCCCAAAATCCAACGGTAGTGGCAGAAACGGCTAGAATGGCAGCATAAACGAAGACTCGTAAGAATACCATTTCGAACAGATCGAGAGACTACCACAGGAAGCTTAAAGACGCGGAATGAAGTGTCTGTGAGAAACCAAGGGAGTGACATGAGCGACATGAAGAACAAGGCAGCGAGAAATTTAAAGGATATACAAGACCAGCTGTTCCACAAAGCAGTTAGGAGGGATACTCTACCCGATAGGAAGGTCGTTTGACAACTTGCATTGTTGAAAACCAGGGGTCATTGACATTAGGATGTCTGTAAGACTCCGGTAGACTGTTGGAACATCCGACTGTCTCGAGAATTGTCATATCTCCAAATGGTATATCCAAGCCGACTTTCAGTGGTCGAAGGATGGTCGCATATGAGCCGTATGTGCCACCTTGGCGCGGTATGGCTCATCTTAGATCTACCTGATCCGGAGGTCTAACGTTGAGGCTTAGCCTTGCGCCTCGGTGGTAATATGATCTCCAACAAGAGCCAAGATATTTTCAACAGGAACACGGTAGTTGGAGGTAGGGAAGTTCGAAAAGTCTTGAACCCAGGCAATCGCTGCTGGGAGATCAAGAAATCTGGTTAGAGCCCAAAGCCAAACAATGTGGTAAACAACTTGATACGACCATAAAGCTCCGCAATTAGGATATCAGAAAGTTTTAATATACTGCTGACACTTATGAAGATCCAATAGGTGCATGTAACACAAATGATGCCTGCTTAGAACTCTGCTTATCGTAGTTTCGGCGCAAGAACCCCTTTCAAGACAGGCATCAAGTTTAGATATGCTGAGTACTTTCACTCAGTCATAAGATATTGATAGAGACTCTCTTAGAAATAGCTAAGTAAATAGAATAAACAGAAGAAATAGAATATTGTTAGTTTATCTACGTGGATAGCTTCGACAATACATTGAAAATCGGGTTCTTCCACCTTGTTACATTCCAACTATTCTACACTCAGCAACTGTATCGCAGCATCCCTCTCCACCTAGCCCCAATTCCCACGGTGGTAGCTTTACCATATCGTCTATCTCGATCCCTCTTTCGAAGGTGGTGTATATGGGAAACAACCTAGATCCCTTAAATGAGTGTAAGCTATCGGTTTATCCCGACTACACATCACAAAAGAGTTAAAGATTACGTACTATCGAGACTTCAACAATAATAAGTTATTTGTTCAGGGCATGGGGCTTCAATCATACGCCTTTCCCAGCACCTACGGCCTGGATAAGGGCATAGTAGAACGTCAGGGACCGCGGAAGGCTATATGCTGTTCAAATGGGTCACCGTTCATCAAAAGAATGGAACCGTTTGGGGCATTATAATCGACGACCAGCATGGTTGGATGAAGACTACTGCCTCGGGCCCGGGTTTGGAGGTTGGGGTTTGGTTCCGACAAAGGTGGTGCATTCAGAGTGTGAATATGAGGAAATCTTACTTAGCTCAACTTTTCTGCACTTATGAGCAACGCTACCCAAGTCATTACAATAAGGCTCCATTAGGTGTCAAAGCTGAGAAGATGGATACATTCAAATCCATACTTCAGTCGAGTCAAAGCAAGATGGGAAGTAGCAGCAATAAGACCAGGTTCAACTATAAAGTCTAGTCGTCCGCTTCCCCTAGTCTATCCTCTAACCTGACTAGCTTGCTATATCGTCCACATCCGCGTCCTTCTGCTCCCTCTATCAATCTCTCCCTGGAACTTCCAAATAGTATCAGAACAATTACAGGCAACCCGGGATGGGAGCAATCTAGTAGACATCACACATATCCACCCTTAGATAGTGACCAGTGGTCAACACATCAAAGGCTGAAAAAGCCGAGGTATGAAAATATAACTCCTAAAGAGAGAACCCCAGAAGGGATTCACTCCATAAAGAAGCTTCAGAACATCAACCAGTTACGTGATATGATTGAGCTTCGTTTGTTTGCCACGAAGAACCCAGTTATTGGAGGTACCTAGCATATGACGCTGACTGTTTCGATGCTTAATTTTGTTGACTTGCAGAAATGGGTCATGGTACCCTAGCCTTTGTTAGATATCATCACAGGCTTGTAGAGTTCTGGTATTCTGAGATCACTCTCTGACAGTGTATAAAGCCATGTGATAGATTGATAGGTTCACCGGGGACGTGTTGCATCTTGTCATGGACTTTCGCCAAGCACCGGTCAAGTGTTTCATCGGATCTGGACCTATATTCAAATTGCAGTAGTTCATCCGTAGTCAACGAATTACGTGTAGTCACGCATTAAAAATAATGACCACGAGGCACATATTTGCTCATGAGAACTCAAGCCAATTAAACTTGTTGAGTTACAGAAGGAATTGAATCCCAGCTGTAGCGCTCTTGACATCTAATGTAGATATGAGTAGATATAAAGCCAGTATACGGGGGTTATCATTTTCTCTCCGCATCAATATCCTTTCCGAACATTCATCAGCCGATCATTCTTAAATATCCAGCTTCTCATTAATATATCGATAGCCAGCCATTATTTCACAATACATTCGTACCCCTTTAGGTGTTTATCAGGATCAACTCTCGAGACACACTAGTATTATCTAGCAACAAACCATGGCTAGAGGAAAGACGACCTTCTCCATCACTCGACAAGAGTGGAACAATAAAATTCGTGTAGAGTCTGACTCTATTGTAGTACTCTTTACAAATTGCCAAGGTTAGTAAGGCAGACCTCCAATTTCCTGATCTATGCATCATCTCTCAAGTACCAAGATCAAAGCTGGAACCCTGTTCTGTTCATTCCAGATTCCACTACGTATTGAAATTCTGAAGTGGCTGCACACAACGAAAATTACTTACCAACAATATCTGAAGGTGAATGGACGGATAAGAAAACGGAATTGCCAGGATACATACGTCACGATTTCCCGAACGTATATCACCGTTACCGAGATCTGTGCAAGGAATATATCCGGGATGGCAAAAAGTATCCCTCGGGTGACCTCCTATACCAGTGCCGCTTCAGTATGCAAGCCCTTCAAAGCCCCAATGACAATATGATGGTGTATCCGATTTGGTGATCCCACACTAGCTATTCTCTCCCTCTCGATAGTTGATACAGGGACGAGGCTTGTCCATCTGCGTCTATGAACGATACGCTGACTTCAAATACCACAGTCGAGTCCAGACCGTCAGATGTCAACTCTAAGGAACGGCGCATCTTCTTTGCGTGCTTGTTCGTTAGCTATGGGAACGGGAACCGTAACTACTTTAGCAGGAAGCCGGGCCGTGATGGGAAAAAAAGGGTCCGCTTGCAGACTGATATCGCTCTCGCCCATTTGAAGGAAGCCATCCAAAGAGAGGCACGGTCAGCATATAAAGAGGAGATTAAAGGTAAAGGTAAAGAGGGCGCGGCTCCCAAGTCGATGGCGTACAGGTCAGGATGGACGCCATGGGGCAACGATACGGTCATCTATTCGCATAGCGGGAATGCTTCAGCATTCGGATTGAAGGCAAAGGATGTAGAAGCTCTGATTAGGCAAAACTTTGTGGGCTGGAAGGGGGAATGGTATATGCTTGAGTAGAAAATTACTGGAGGAGACGTATACATAGGTCCTTGACCTAGATGCGGATGCTTAGGGGGGTTGATTTTCAACAGACTCAACCCATAGTCTTGGAGCATATGCGGCAAATGATAGCATGATAACGTTGATTTATTTACTTTAGTGTCTTTTTTCTTCCTTTCGCACAACTTATCTAGAAATAATTGTATGATTGAGCAACACAACTACAGAAACCCATACCTATCCTTTAACTATCCAACTGTCCTGCCCATTTGGCGACTCAACCCTTCAGCCGTAAAATCCTCGAAAACTTGCAGGATGTCCAGGGAGGTATGTAAAAGGTCAATCATTCAGTCGGGGGCGGAGCTGATGGTTCACAACATCGGGCAACCCCTTTCTAGCGTCAGCAGTGTTGCCTGCGCCTGATTAAAGTGAGCTCAAGCTACTGACTGTTGGAGTACATAAATTTGTCACAAAGTCTCTTCATAGCGTCATCGAAGCTGTAAAGAAGCGAGCGAGGTCAATGCACTCCTGGATTTTCCATTCATAGACTATTCTGCTGTTAATATAAGTACGATAGGGATGAGAAGTGCGCGTACATGTAAATGAGATACCAACTGGTTTTCTAACCACACAGGGCCTGTAGTCACGTGGCCTCTAGTGTTATTATTTTTACACTTCCACACATCCGCACCTCATAAACAACATAGAAGGAAAGAAAGGCAAAAAGGAAGAAGGCGCATGTCACCTTATCTGTGAAGCAAGCACCATATCACCGGACTGCAAAAATGGAAATCTGTGATATGCTGCCAATAAAGAAGGGATTCCACAACCAACATGCCTCCACCCCGGATCGAACGAGGGACCTTTGCATATCTCATAGATAATGTACCTACAAGTGCAACGCACTACCACTGTGCTATAGAGGCTGTTTTAATTCGTTGACGGGTCAGCTCTTATCGTATCTTATACGTTGGGTGGGGGGTGGGGGATCGGCAACCTATGGGAATAGACACTGTGCAAATGCCCAATTAGCATGCGGAGCATATGCACAGACCACAGCCTACGTCTAGATTGGTAGTTCAATTGATTTGGTTAGAGCTTCTGCTGGTACTTGTACCGAGTCGCTACACAAGTAGATACGATGGATGAGAAAACCTCAGGTCTTTACACATCTTCAAAGGCATCAAGTAGCTTGGTAGATTGACAGTCTATTTGTATTGGCAATTCTGCAGTAAAATATCACCAAGATGGAAAGTTGGATAACTTAGTCTTCTATGGAACTCTCAATGCTAAACAGAAGCATATGCTTTTCTCGGAGATAACGATACCCTCAAGCAGCTCAGGATGAGTTACAGAGCTCCGAGATGATACTTTTGACAGACTAATTGCACCGTATATGAGTATATGAAAGAAAGCGCCATCAAATACAAGAGGAAGTATCAGAAAGAAAACCATAAGCTATTGATTGATCAACTTCTAGGGCTACCCGTCTAAGTCCTCAAGGGCATTAGGACTATTCAATATAAAGTAACATGGTGCGATGCAAGATAGTATCAATCTAGAATGCCTTGTGCTGCCTGCGGTGTATTTGGTTAGGCCATATTAACCAGTAACAACTCAGTTGTGGCACTGATAATCGATGTTATATAAGGTGCAAGGCGTTCCTATACTTCTATTGACAGGAGTCTCCTTTGGCAGGAATAGAGAAACAGAGATGGATGTCTACACGTCTAAGTACGCACGTGTGTGAATCGCGTTCATTGGCCCAATATATGTTATAGTGGAGACAACCTCGGTTATCGAATCAAATGTGTAAGGATGATGGCAGTCGCGACTCTTCCACAGCAAGGCTGGAGCTGAGCTTGCAGCAGAAAGGGCCACCCTGTCAGGCCTGTAAAAACACAGGTGACAGGTCCATCTGGCCCCAATAGGAAGATGCGGTCTTGCCTCGCGACCACCTCGTCATCAACTCCCAACCAACAAAGAGAGGCCAACTCAACCAATTCATCTTCTGTTATTGCATAATGCCCATTTAAACCATGTCGCCACGTTCGCAAAGCTAACAAGAGCTCCCTCTCTTCGAATTCACCCAACATTCCCGGCTAATCTTGCGAATCCTGCGCTGCGACCATGGCGAACCCGATCCCTAGTGCGAAGATCACCCTCTCTTATCCGCTCTACACATGCGGCTTCGACCCGTCAGATCCCAGCCGCCTCATTGTCGCCGGCGGTGGCGGACCTGGCCGAAACGGTGTAGGGAATAAAATCGTACGAAGACAATGCGATACCTCTCTGCTTAATTTCTTGGTGATCTGACCACTGCCCGTACAGACCATTCTTAATGCCTCCGACCCGGCCAGCCTGTCCGAAGCAGGCGAACTCGAATTGAGTCCCAACGAAGACAATGTCACCACCCTCGCTGTCGGTCCGCGAAAAGATAGGAATCTGACCGTGTTCGCCGGTGTCAATTCGAGCCCGGAAGACATAAAGGGAGGGAAGAACGAGCATTTCCGTGTTCTCGGCATCAACCAACCCGGCAAGGCGGCCAAGACTAGCGGTGTACGAATTTCCGAGGTCGCGCGCGATGCGCTATTCGTGCATAAGGATGCAAGCGCCTACCAAAGACTACTAAGACTGTCCCACCCTTACGAAAATTCTGCCCAGCTGGGTGCTGTCGCTACAGGTCTGTCCAAACAGCCCGAGATCGCCCTCTTCGATGTACCAAGTTCAGGAGGTGGGAGGTGGAAATCTCGGGGCCGGCTAGATGTCCCCAAGGAAGCAATGGACTTGGACGTTGTACAGACCAGTCCAGACAAATACCAATTAAGTTACTGCACCGACCATGAGATCTTCGTTGTCGAAGTATCTAAGGAGGAAGTGTCAGAGCCGAGATGTGTCTACACTATTACCCCGGAAGAGGGGGCGACGGCTAAGGCATCATTCAAATCTTTACGCTATCTGACTCCGGGTTTCCTGATCACTGTTGTCAACAAACCTAACTCACAAGGTGTCGCTCTTCACGGATACCGGCTACCGGTTGAAGAACAGGAGAATGCTCGGCTGTCGATTCGAGCTAAGCTGCCCAAGGGCGTGTCGAAAGCCACAGGCCTCGCAGTGAGAAATCTATCTCCACCGTTGTCCTTATCCGACAAACCTGAGGATACACAGTTTGTCGTCGCGGTTGCTGGGAACGATGCCTCAATATCTCTGTTCACGCTAGAACACAAGATCGCCTCGAGAGTAGACCTTCTAGCAGACCTTGCACCCTTTCAGGTGCTGAAATCTGTCCACCCTTCAAATATAACTGGCCTCTCATTCTCATCTTTCACTCCGCCGAAGTCGTCATCTAAGACTGCACCCGAGCTTTCCGTGAAGCTAGCAAGTGTAGCTGTTGGCTTCACAACTGTTGTACACAGCATACCACTAAAGAAGTATGTCGACAAGTCAGCCCCGGTGAGAAAAGGAGGGCCTCCAAAGCCTTCACGATATGTTGTAGCCTTAAAATCAAAAGGCGAATCACCCGTTACACTCATCACTCTCATCACAGTTGTGATGCTCATCCTGGCTATGGTGGGACAAACTTACCTTGAGGCAAAGGGTCTCACTAAACCTATCATCGGCGCTAAGGACTACCTTCCTACCTCCTGGACAACTCCAATAAGGACGGTTCCTACTGCCAATGACAAGACCATTAAGGACCTCTTGGCGGATGTCAATGTACACCACAGTCAACCACTCGTAATTCGTAATAACGAAGCGGGCGAAGTAGACTCCAAAGGACTACCTAATCTTCATGTTGACGTCCACAATGAGGAAGCTCATGGCCCTGCCACTCCATGGGAACAGCTTACCCCCAGGGATCAACATCTTTGGAAGGAACGACTCAAGAAGTCGGGTCACTGGGTTGAAGACATGGGTGAAACCATCTTCAGCGGAGTCCTGTTTGGAGAGATTGGCGGCGCCATCGGTAACATAATCGGCGAAGCCTTATGAGATACATACATTAGCACAATACACTGATATAAAGTGTTACAAGGAGATAGGGAATCATGTGTATTGACCATATCATTGATGCCGCAGCATGTACGATGGATTTTGTATAAAATAAACCCTTCATCACGATTAATTTAGAAAGTGCCTTAATCCCTGTTGCTGTTATGAGCACAAGAAGGAGTTTAGAGGATTCGACTTAATGAAGTCAATGATCATAGTGTATTGCTTAAAACCCATCCTTTTCCCAGCATATTGCTTTCCGAAACTACACTTAATGGCCAATGGCATGGCTAGCTTCTTATTCAAACATTTGATGGAGAATATTCGTCATGCAATCTTGAATCCTTTCAAGACAAGATCCAGATATCCCTTCACCCTGACGAGGGTGCCAACTGTATATATCCCCGCTTCATCCCTCCAATTCCAGGTGACCCCTTCAGTCGTTTTCTACCAAGGTGCCAAATTCGGCGGCAGCATAGGATACTCAACGCCGTCGATGATCTCGGTTCCGTATCCGAGGTCGCCGATGCCCACGGACCCTGTTTTCGTTCCTGTGTCCTCGGACATGCTACCGACGTCTGCGCCATCTCGCTTCCAGTTCGCGTTGCACTGCCCCGGCACGAACCGGGCGACGTCCATGTTCAGCGTCATCTTCACCTCCGGACAGTAGTCCCAGATGTGCTTGCGCAGCCGCGGTGTGCCCCAGATGCCGCCGTGGAGGTAGGTTCCGCTACCGCCGGTGTGGTAGCCCACTGTGAGGAAAGGAGTTAGCTGTGGATGCCTGTACTTATTCTCCAATATGTCGGGGAAGGGATTGAGGTAGTCTTAAGAGTTGCTGCGGAAGAGAGGAATCTGTGCTCTGGAATAAAGGGAAAGGATAGGCGAGTATGTAAATATGGAGCTCCACTTACTCGGCTCGTAGAAACCCTGCCGCCACTCATCGATCTCCGGCACGTATTCGCCGGCCTTAGCGGCCTCAAGACTGCTATTGTAATTGCCAAGCGTGCTCCCATCGCCGATATTCTCGGGGTTGCCCGTGTTCATCTCGCCACTGAACGTCAGCGAGAGCGAGCCGTTCGCCATCTTGGCATTCGGGCGGTGGCCGAGGCGCTCGGTGAGCCAGACGTCCTCGGGCTCGGAGTCGTGGGCGCGGACCTGGTCGCGCAGGACGTCGACGATGGCGCCGACGCGGCGCAGCGACAGCCCCCCGTTGCCGCCGAAGCGGCCCGAGGGGTCCCACGGCGCGCCGACCCAGTCGTAGTCGAGGAAGTCGTTGAGGTTCTGGCGCGAGTTCGCGCACAGGATGGAGTCCGTCTGGAACACCAGCAGCCACTCCGCGGGCCGCAGCACCGTCTCGTACAGCCACCGCGTCGTCAGGAACCGGCTGATCATCTCCTGCCCCGCCGTGCTCATGTTGCCCGGGATCAGCGTCAGGTCTAGCTTGCCCGCCGCCACCTGCTCGCGGATCGCCATCGACCGGTTGATGGAGGCTACGCTCTCCGGCGAGCCCATGAACCGGAAGCGCCAGTCCGGCGGCACCACCGACATGAAGTGCAGCGTTAGTGGTGCTAGGATCGGCACGGGTCGGTTCTCGATCAGGAGGGCCACTTTGCTTTCATTGTAGGGCGAGCGAGGCGGCTCTTTGTATTCGAGAGTTACATGGGGGACGTCGACGGTGCGGATCGTAGGGAGTAGTGTGTATAGTGCGATGAGCCTTGACGGTTGTTAGTACGTGGCTTGGTTGCCTTCTCGCTTGCGCGTATAATATCTAGCTTGAGAGGCTCGAAGATGTTTGGTTTATCCAAGTGACTCCGCGGCGGAAGGGAGAGGAAGTGTACACATATAAGATTCACTCACATGAGGAGAAGAAATGCGCCGGCGGCTCTCATCCGGCGGCTCGTTCTTGACCACGTCGCGATTGCGACCGCTTTGC